TACAGTACTAGGTGCAACAGCAATACTTTACACGCGTTTCGTCTTCAGGGCCATTGATTCCAGGAAATCCTACTTTAAGAAAATTTATCTCTGCTTCCTTATAAATTAATCACCCTTAGGCTTAAGTTAGTTTCTGAAATTACCGCTCATTCCGATTTCTCATCCAACTTTCCACGTAAGTAAATTCTTGCTTTAATTTCCAATGTTTTCTCGAATAAAAAAATAAATTTTTGAAGATTTTGAAGACAACCTCATCCCACCCTCGTTCTCCGAAGCTTTTAAGTCCATTTTATTGACATTTTATCTGAATGTGACATCAAAAGTCTCTCCCATAAGAAGTAACACGTGGGGACGAAATCTTCTACTGCCAATGCAAGTGTCAACATCGAGTGGTCGAGGAGATCCAGGACGAAACAAATTTCACTTTTGAAAGCATGGCACATGTCGTTTGTAGGTTCAATATTCAACGTTTCACATGCGCAGAAAATCGCAGTTCATTCATTATCAAATTTCAGCCAGCGATATGAAGAATTACGTGTGCCGTCAGAGGATTTTTTTTTTTTACCCGACACCCCATTCTCAGTTTTGTCTGGAATCGACAGCGACAATAGGAAAGAGTCAAACCGATGAATTTGAACTTCTTGTCAAGATTCCTGTCGTGGACTTCCGCAGTCGCTGGGCTGACTGGTCACGGGCTTATCCTTCGGATCATGTATTTCCATCACTTTAGGTAGAGATAGAGATATAGATTAGATGAATCCACAAGCCAAATGAATGAAATAAACAGCAATCGTGAAGTCTAGGTCAAAGACTAGGTTGAAAGACTCAGGTTTATGCGTACTGACATGCATATAGCTGCCAATTGCTTTCATATATATTTGTAGCAGGGAAACGGCAAGGAAAAATTTCCCTCAACATTTCAATTTTGAGTGGCCATGCCCAAATCCACTTTCGGGTGCTTAGGCTAATGTCATTTCTATGCACACGTGTCCTTCAACGAACTAAGTAGGAAAACGCTATGAGCTGCATTCACGATTGACGTATTTTCTCACAAGGAAAAGTATGTAGTATTAGTTAGAGTTAGAGAAAGGAACTCCATGGTAGTGCTTGTGCCAAAATATAGAGTTGAAAATCATGAAAGCACTCTCCACACGCAAAAGATATTCTTTAATGAATTCTTGTGTTCAAGCTAGATATATTTATAAATAGGCGAAGTCTCATGCATAATTCCACTTATGCTCTGAAAAGTCAATTGAAAATGTTTGATTTTTGCACTTAAATTATTTGTAATGTGTCTTCAGCTTCGAATTCTAGAAGTTGAATTCATGCAATCCATCATGCACAAATGAGAATATGGCTAGGACTCATTCGCCTCAGCATTCTCAAGTTAAATGAGAAAATTACAAGAAAAAGGCAACGGACCTAAGCAGCACTTACACACGCGGCAAATATGTACTCATCACACAGGTCCGACTACAAGAAAGCAATAGAATCGGCACACCATCGATGCGACCCTGATCCAGACTTGGGGAATCCATAATACAGTAAAATAGAGAGCTGTCTAGTACCAGTCCTTTCTCTGCGAACGAGTATCAGTCCCAATCTGAAACCGTGGATCGAAGATGAGCTCGAAAGTAGTTCCGCAAAAAACGAAGAGAAACATGCTTCTAACCTGTCTCGTCTATTCCTTCGCAATACTCCTAACTACACTTCAGGTGAGAATTCCAATCTGCACACTGGGGAGTACCTTGTTCTGACGATGTATTGAACCTAACAGGCGCTGCAGTACTTGGTGCGATACCAAAATAAGCCGACGACGACGAACTATCGATTAGACGAACGGCAGAGTTTTCCTGCTCCAAAAATCACCGTCTGTCGAACGCCATCATTCAAAAGTGAAAATAATCTGGAATCATTCTCCTACTTCAACCTCTCTACATTCGCTGAACGTTTAGCATTCCTTCCAAACGAAACTATTCAACGATGCAAATTGAACATAGATCAAGATTGTTACCCAATTGGAGGATCTCGTTGGAGTGAAGTCTACCACAGCGAAGGCAAGTCATAAGTAAACCAAGATTTCGGGAAATATTATTAACAATTGTATTATTTGTTTGGGAATGCAAGAGTAACTTTGTCCATGAGAGCGCTCCATTTCAAGACCTGAGTGTTAATTTTAAATGAGATTGATCAAGGATAGTTATGTTCGAGGGAAGATACCCTCATATCTTTTTGTGCATCTAATCTGAAAATCTAAGACTACCTAACGTTTCACCAGGAGAGCGTTTTACAATGAGCGGCATATTGAACTCTTTCTTGGAGCAGGTGGAGAATGGCGGCCCACATTTTTCTTCAACCAAGATTACTTTTTGAGTCTATGTTACACATTCCACCCAAATGTGAGCCTCGGATTCGGAGGTCAAATCTCCGGATATGAGCTCCAATTCGAAAACCCCTCGAGGAAAGAAGACATTGACACAGTGTACTGGGAAATTAAGATCCATCGTGATCTGGGATGGGCCTCCACATATATAAGGTCTTCTTATACTCCGGTCAGGGTGAAGCCAGGAACGTATAACCACGTGGTCCTCTCGCCCAAAGAAGTCAATCAACTCGACACCCAGACCTATCACTGCGATTCCAGGGACGGATACAGCAGAGACGAGGTAAGAAATGGGTTTTATCACAAGAGTTTCACGAGTGCATTGTATTTATAACTTTCTTCTGTAGTGCATGGACACATGCACATGGATGTGGACCTCCATTCTGCCACTGTCGTGTCGACTTTCCTCGATGAACGTGTCTTTGCCGATGTGCGATCACATTGGGGCTATCCTAGAAATGGGCCGCATAATTAATTCCGCATGGAATAGGCATAATGAGCTGCTTCATTCAACCTGCATCTGCCCGCCACCCTGCCATCGCCTCCGCTACGCTGTGGACGTGAGGACTCTGAAACAAGCTTTGGACGAATATAACTATCTCTGGATATATCTCCCTGAGGATATCGTGGAAGTTCTGGTCGAGAAAGAGGTCTACGATCTCATCCAGGTGTTTGGGGAATTCGGGGGTTGCCTTGGTATGTTTCTCGGCATTTCTCTCGTCTCCATATACGAGTCCCTCGACCGACTTATCCGATTCTTGGTCGCAAGATTCATCGTCAGTGAATAATCATCTGCTTGGAAGATTTCGACTTGGACAGGAATATAACTACGAGATACGTGGAGACTATCAATGCACCTTGCTGTAGTTCCTCAAGTGTAAGAACTCCTAATTCACATCGTGAACTGTGTTATGCTTTTCAATGTGCATTCTTTCTGGTGAAAGACAAGCAATGATCGCATCGGCCGCATTCGGTGACAGTCGTAGCGAGACGAGGTTCTGTCTCATGTCATGTTGGAACGTCGAAGTATCGTTGAGGAAACAGCATTTCCCAAGATCTGCCAGAGCTCGTACTCTAAATATTGAGTTCATGGGGAGGACACGCATGAGGCCAGCAAAAGGGGGGTCGGGGCCGGTCCCCTTGCCGACATTGAACTACCTTATAATATTCACGATCGTCTCCTCGGTGATGGAAATTTTCTTGATGCGCGCTGAAGTCAACTCCTCCAAAGTCAGTGCTTCGTCGGATTCCATTGTGAGAATGGTAAACCGATTGACAGATTGACATTGAGAACATTTATTAATAACCCTATTGTTTGATGTGAGAATTTATGGACGAACCTATTGGTTGATATTGGGAGTATGTCGCTCTGTCGTTCCTTCGATCGGTCAGTTGTCTTCTCTCACACACTAATACATTCGTCACGTTTTTCCTTGATGTCTTCATTTCCACTATTAGTAAATACTGTCGCATTCAAAACAAATATACTTTATTTCAACATATTGTGAATAAGTATGGAGTCTTGGATTATGGGAATGCGTTGGTTGCCTCGGTATGTTCCTCGGCATGTCCTTCGTCTCCATATACGTGTCCTTCGACCGACTCATCCAATTCTTGATCACAAGACGCATCAGTATTGAATGCTGATTTGCTTCGACGATTTCGACTGAGACAGACTAGGAAAATCGTGGGGACTATCGATGCACCTTGCTATGGTCTCTGAAGCGTAAGAATTTATAATTCACATCGTGAACTGTGTTATGCTTCTCAAATTGGATTATTTTTCATGGAAGACGTGCAATGATCCCGTAGGCCGTATTCGTTGACAGTTGTTGCTTTCGAGACTATGTAGTAGCCCCTCGTAGCGAGACGAACTTCGATCTAATCTTGACGTTCGAATGTCGAAATATCGTCGCGGTAGCAGCATTACACAGGGTCTGCAAAAGCTCAAAAAATAAAAAATATGCTCATAGTGACGACACGATTGAGTAGGCAAACAGAAGTGCATGGCTGAGAAAGCCCATCGTTCCCTTCCCTTTTTCACGAAACGGAAATTGCGTTAAGAGTGAAATCCGGTCAGGAGAAGAAAGTCAATTTTGGTACGAAACCGCTCAAGAGAGGCGGGGGGAGATGGAGGGTCGTTCAGGAATTTCGAGTCGAATAGGATCATCAAAAAATTCAATGACGCGACGTTATCTGTGCGCAACGAGTGTACGTGCTTCTGAGCAGCACATGCGGTAGCCCGGAATATTGATCAGCTTTAATTCGGGAAATGAATCGGTTTTTGCTGACGTTCCTCTTTAACACGTATGAACTTTTGGCAAATCTTATTTTTCAAGGGAAGGACAGAGACCTTACAATTTATGTTGTTCTTTGGTATTTTAGCCATTCTTCGTCGCATTTGCAAGCACCAAAAAAATTGTTCATGGCGATGTTTTAGTCTGCATTTCAGATAATAAAGCGATGTTCATGGGGATGTTTCTTCATATCCCTAAGTTGAAAACGACCATGTAGAAGGGACGCTTTTCCTAAACTGTTCTTTTCCCCTTGGACGGGGAGAAATGAAACTTACTTACTTACTAAAGATCTGATCTCGTAGGCCGCGCGCGTTGCGGTGACAGTAACCACCACAACTTCTTCCCAGCACATTCAATACTCTTGGCATCACCGATTAGCTCATGGGTTATTAGCATTAGCTTATGGTACATGTACCACTGAATCTGAAACCGTTCGGGTCATTTCCAAGAACCTGTTCGACTTTAGCATAGAGGAAATTTTGCACATGTGTAGCGGAATACAAACGAATAATTCCTGAAAATGCTTCGCCTCCACATTAGCACCAGTGAACAACAATGTGAGGGTTGTGAGTTGCAGCAAAAACACTTTTCCGTTGTGGCAGCAATGTGAAACAAATGTCCCCTCCCTACAGCAAAATGTACAGCCTGATAGTGCTCGCTGCGCAAACGACTGTAGCGATTTGAGATGACATGGAGAGGCCTGACTGTGTCCCGAGTTCCGTAGTGTAATGGTAGCACACCTGACTGGCAAGCAAGAGGTCCGGGTTCAATTCCCGGCAGCCCACCGACTTTCGACACCTGATTGCTGCGTGCCTTGCATCAAGTTGTCCAGGATGCTGCATGGCTCTCTTATTCCTGAGCTCAGCATTCGCTGCCTCTTGCTGTTCAGCCTGACGCTCCCCATATGCAACTGGGTATTGTTCATCAGTCATTCTAGCCATTATGGCTAGCACCTCCTAAAGCACCGATTTAGGCACTTCGCACCGCAACTGCAGTGGCTAACGTTGTTTCCGCGCCAGCACCAATCGTTTATTATCTGCAGCGACTGCCTCATCGGCGTCCTGTGGGACATCTTTCAACATTTCTTTTTCACGTTCAACCTCACCTCGCAAATATCGCGACCATTTTGATTGGAGGAGCGGTCCGTTTGTGCGACGTATGAAACAAAGAATTTACGTTATTATTTTGACTTAATCAATCATGAGAACTCCAATAAGTCGGCTATGACATGAAATGCAAACAGAAAACTATTGCATGGAAGCGATGTCCCGAACCGCCACGCCTGACCTAACGGAAAAAAAAACACTTGATCAAAGAATGTATTCAAATGGAGTACTTGCAGGCGATTAGTGAAAACGTGACAAGCATTCAGTTATTACCACTCTTTGATTGACGCACCTAAGTATGAAGCCTATGACTCTGATATAGCTCGATATACCTGGTGCTAAATGCGTTGGATGGCCAAGCCTACGGCCTAGAATAGCATAGCCTCAAGGACCTGGCGGTTAGAGGGGTGGATGGCCTAGTCTATGGCCTGCAGTAACGTAATGTCGTAGGCCTCGCGCGCTGGGGCTCTTCGAATTAAAGTATAAGGTGGGCTGGAAAGGCGTAGCCTTGTAGGCCTGGCCTATGATCCAGAATGGGATTGCATCGTAGGCCTGCGCGTTGGGGGTGACATCCACGGCCATCATCACCACCACCGCCGCCACCGCAGCTTTTGACCTCTTCGAATTAAAGTGTAGGATGTCCATCAGGGCTTTCCCACGAACCACCTATTTTCCGACAGAGTCACCGTTTCTGGCAATGCATTTTCCCCAGGGTTTTACAAGGGCATGAATCCCATCCCGAAGAAAGCTCTCTCCTTGGTGACAGAGTCATAGCACCCAAGTGATGACAAGCCTATCTTTCAACCACTTTCTTGATGCTCTCGTCAGTGATGGCAGTGATTAGTCGTCCCGATCGCGCCTTGTCTTTAACCGGCGTATCTCCAGATGCAAAGAGACTGAACCATCGTCTGACAGCGCTGTCATCAACGCAGGCGTCACCGTAAGAGACTATAAAGTGGCAGCGATAATCCGCAGGCTTTACAACCTTCCCCCAAAGGAATTCCCTTACTTCTCTCTGCTTCTCACACACCTGAAGTGTGACAGCCATTTTGAACGTGTCCCTTGCTGGTGTCTCTCAGCAGATATTTGTCAAACTTGCGAATTTTTGACGGGAAATTTAATCATTTACGCAGACCTTAAAAATGGATCCAGCATGAATGAGTTTGGCTAAAAAAATGATTATGCAGAGGCTAATTTGTGACTGTCAGATGTGATGTGTCCTGAAGGTTCATTGGAAAATATGAAGTTTGCTCTTGTCTGGAATAATAATGTCCTAGGTGAATATCATTCAAATGTGAAAAATGGACATTTCTTCACACCCACGCTGATTTGATGACATTATGAACTTTTGTATTGAATTCAATATTCCCAAACTCAAGGTAATTTCTTTGCAAGAAAACTTCAGACCACTTGGCGAAAACAGACCCTATTATGACTGAATGGACCATCTCATTGCAGCAAAAAAAAAAACAACCAATAAGGTCCCCTTCCTGCCAATATTTTCTTCCCAGTCTCCTTGTCGCACGCTTTCACTTTTTAATTTTCTCCTGTGATGAAACCAGTAAATGTATTTTTAAAAAAAAGTTCTCCTACAGTATGTTATGCTTTTTTGGCATGTCTCTACATGGATTCAAGCAAAAAAATTATTGAAGGGTCTCGTTCTGCTTCTATTCTTTCAGAGTAGAACCAGGTAATCATCCGACAAACATCCATCGTATCTTCTCACATCTGGACGACGTACGTCGGATATCTAAGGCCGTCTGAGGATGACAGGAATTCTTCCAGTTAGAGGCGTCCACTTTAGAATATGCGGGCCCTTTTAGGCTGTCCACAGAAATTCCAAACCCGGTCGGTTATGAATTCGAAGATCGGGATGTTATTGATACAGACATGAGCTTTTGATTGTCGGATCCATGAATATAAGAAGAGCGCAAATTTTCGGAGATCGTTCGTTGATTCTTGGAAATTTTTATTTCGCGATATGAAAACGGATTTAGTAATTAGGGAAAAAAAGTGTCACCCTTGAAATAGTAAGAGAGAACGTGAGCTTAATCGTGGATAGATGTGAATGCTCTACTCAACTGCAAAATGTAACCCTTTGATGTCGGGGGAGGTGGCGCTTAATCACCCCCACAGGCGGCTAAATCGGCACCCACTTGATTTTTCAAAAGAGTTACTGAAATGAACAAATGCAAGAGGTGACAAAAATCTCCTGATAAAATTCCGGGAAAGTCTTTACACGCGAGGGATTTAATAAAACTCCAGTCAACCGTGCTAACATAGGCTCACGTGT